CCGTTGCGGGGCCACCAGCCCGCCAGCCCAGGATCGGCGGGACCGATTCTGGGCCGCCGCGCCGCCAGCCCAGGCTCCCGCGCAGCGCCCGGGGCCAGTGCTCCTTCCTCTGGGGCGGGCCTGCCCGTTGCTGGGCCACCAGCCCGCCAGCCCAGAATCGGCGGGACAGATGCTGGGCCACCGCGCCGCCAGCCCGGAATCCCGCCCAGCGCGCCCTGGGCGGCCGCGCGCGCTTCCAGGGTCGGCCGGGGCGAGATCGGCGGCCGCCAGCCCAGAATCCTGCCCGGCGCGTCCCGGGACGGCGCGGGGCCTCCGGAGCGGCCCTAGCCGTCCTGGGTCCCTCTCGGGACATTGTATGGCCGTCTTGGACGCTACGGAGAGGGTAAGACCAGGGACTGCGAAAATGCACGCTTTCCCAAGGGAGTGGGACGATTTCTCGGTGTTGGGGCTCGCATGGGGGTCGTCGAGGAGCCCATCTGGAGAATTTTGGAAACCTCTCGGGTCGTCTGGAGGCCGTCTGGGGAGTTGTCGGGCCCTCTGGGGGTTGCCTGGGGCCGCCATGGGCGCCTCTGGAGCAGTCTGGGGACCGTCTGGGGGTCGTCTTGGGCCGTCCTGGGCCGCTCTTGAAGCTGTCTTGGGTACCCCGTGGGCTGCCAGGGGCGCCTCAGGAACCATCCTGGGGCCATTTTGCGACCCTGCATGGCCGTCTTGGACGCTATGAGTAGGGCAAGCCCGGGAACTGTGTAACTGCACGTTTCCCCGAGGGAATGGGACGATTTTTCGCTGTTCGGGCTCTCTTGGAGCTCGTCGTGGAGCCCACTTGGAGCGTTTTGGAAGCCTCTTGGGCCGTCTGGAGGCTGTCTGAAGCGTTCTCGAGCGCTCTGGGCGCGTCTCGGAGACCCTCTTGGACCGTCTTCGGCCGTCTGGGGGCCCTCTTGGGGACTTCCTGGTGCGTCTCGGAACGCTCTTGGGCCATCTTGGAAGCGCGCCAATGCCTGCAGGGGCCGCCGGAGGGGGCCGGTCCGCTGCCACCGATCGGCACCTCCGCGAGCGCTGGGCCAGCCATTGTAGGAGAGATGGCGTCGGGCTCTTGCTTCGCCTCCCACATCTCCCTGAGTAGCGACAGCGCCCGCTGCCACTGCCCGCCTTTCTCGCACGCGCTGATACCAGCACTGTAACCGACTAGGGCTGACCCGTGGACTCCGTCCACGACATCTTTCTGGAATGGTTCTCGGAGGAACGGCAGATTGCACCGAAAATCTACAAACACGGCGGCGGCTCGGGCGGCGGCAGCGAGACCGGCTTCGCATAGCGTAACATATCGTTGCATGACATAGCGTGGCATAGCGTGTAGCTTCGCAACAGGGGGCCGCCGGTGAGATCCCAAGCAAGGTGAGGTTCCGACAGAGGCGCTGTGATGGGCGGAAACCAGGGCAGAGCGCTCGGGCCTCTGAAAGGGGAAGGCACTAAGGGAATGCAATCGGAGCCCTGTTGAAAAGGTAAGGGACAATGACGACGACGGCGGCGACGACGACGGCGGCGGCGAGAACGACAAGGAGAACGACGGCGACGACATCGACCACGACGGCGACGCCGAACACGACGACGACGACGAAGACGATGACGACGACGACGACGACGACGACGACGACGACGACGACGAGCGGTCTTGAGGGCCCCTCGGGGGCACTGTTTGGCTGCGCTGGGGGAGCGCCCATGGAACAGGTATCCCGCCACATTTTTCAAAGGAAAATGTTGCGGGATACTTGTTTTTTCGGTTTGGATTCTGGCCCAGTCCGGCCCCGCGGATTCCTGGTTTCTGCCGTCTTGGCGGCCCCAACTGCGGGGACGACGGCGACGCAGACGACGACGACGCCGACGACGACGGCGACGACGCCGACGACAACGTTGGCGGCGGCGGCAGCGACGACGACGACGACGACGACGACGGCGGCGGCGAGAACGACAAGGAGAACGACGGCGACGACATCGACGACGACGGCGACGCCGAACACGACGACGACGACGAAGACGAGGAGGTGAACGACGACGATGGGGATGTCGACGACGACCTCGTGCGGACCACTTCCGCCTCGGAGTGGCCACATGCGCAGTGAGCCTGGACCACGTCCGAAGGACTGGCTTCTCGCCCTGAGTCGTGTGTTGACGGCCCCGGGGCCCAGGAGCGACCTCGGGAGGGCGAAAGCCAAAAGAACATCTGTCATGTTTGACGGTCCCGGGGGGGGGAGGCTCGCGCGGCGGCTCTCGGCGGGGAGAGCGGGAGCAGCGGGAGCAGCCACGGCGACGATGGCAAGCACGGGTAAAAACAACAGCGGCCGGAGCAGCAGAGGCGCGAGGCGCGCCTGCGCTAGTGGTCCACCTAGCCGATCATCATGTAGCTCTTCCTCGGGCGAACCCGTGGTCCGGGCCTCGGCGTAAAGGGCTGGTTGCGTCACCGCTCGCTCTGGGGAGCTGTGGATTTCAGAGATCTTGACGTTTCGGCTCGCTCTTGGGAGCCTCCGTTTGAAGAGCGCGTCACGGAGGACCTCGAGCGTGGAGCCTGGAGGATCCAAGTTCGGAGGTCCGACGGCGCTCCCCATCAGACAAACATCTGAATCCCTGGGAGCGTCGAAAACGGCTCTTTTGTGCCCGCGATATGCCTGTCGCCTCTTGTCCGCTCACCCCCTCGTGAAGGCACTTCTGAAGCCACTTGGGGCCTCGTGGGGGTCCTTTCGGGGGGCTTCTTTTGGGTCTCCTGGGGGCTCTCAGGGCCCTCTTGGGCCGTCTTGGATGCCTCTTGGGCCGTCTTGGGGCCGTCTGAAGCCGGCTTCGGCGCCTCTTGGGCTGTCTTGGGCCGTCTTGGGCCGCTCCTGGGGCCGTCTTGGGTGCCTCTTGGGCCGTCTTGGGCGCCTCCTGGGCCGTCCTGGGGCCGTCCTGGGCCGCCTTGGGGCCGTCTTGGGGCCCTCTTGGCCCGTCTTGGGGCTCTCTTGGGGTCCTCTTCGGCCGTCTTGGAGCGGTCTGGGGGACCTCTTGGGCCGTCTTGGAGCGTCGGGAAGCCGAAAAGGCGAGGAGGCCGAAACCATCGAAAAACACAATGGAAATCGACGGTTTCTGCCGCTCGGGGCCCTCTTGGGAGGCCTCTTGGGAAGCCTCTTGGGGCGTCTTGGAGGCTTCTTGGGCCGTCTTGGGCCAATCTTGAGCGTCTTGGGCCCATCTTGGGGCGTGCCGGGGCCCTCCGGAGCCGTCTTGGGGGCCTCTTGGGGCTTCCTTGGCGCGTCTTGGGGCCTCCCGGGGCGGCCCCAGGCGGCCCGGGGCCAGCCTGGGGCGATTGTTGGTTAATGGAGCCTGCGCCCTTCTGGTATGCACTGGGCCCTGCAATGTAGTAGAGACGACACCTGGCCCCACCTTTGCATCTCGCATTTCGCCGAGCAACAACAGCGCCCGCTGCCACTGTCCGCCTTTCTCGCAGGCGCTGATCCCTGCGCTGTAGCTGAAAACATCTAATTCTAGTGTCGCCTCCCGCACTTCGCTGAGCAACGATATCGCCGAGAGAGCGTGATCCACCGCCGCTTTACTGTGGAAAATCCCCCCCCCCTCTTCCTCCGGAACCCGGGGGTCCCCCCCCCTCCTTCGAAAAGTCCCCTCCTTGCTGGAACCCCTCCCCCCCCCCTCTGGCAACCCCCCCCCTCCCCCCCGAACCACATCCCCCCCCCCCCTCAGAGGGGGCTCACTACCAGTTCGAACCACCCCCCCTCCGGCCTCCTCTCCTCCAAAAAACCGGGGGGGGGATCACTACTGGTTCGAATCCCCCCCCCTCCCTCACCGCTGGCAAACGACTCAAGCGTCCCCACCACCGTGCGCAGCACATCCCCCACCGCTGTCCCCTCCCCACTTTTCCCACCACCGTTCCCACTGACCCCACCAGTGCCCCCACCACTGTCGAGCTGCCCCCACTGTCCCCACCACTGTTCCTACCACGGTCCCACTCTCCCCACTTTCCCCACGGTCCCCACCACTGTCCCACTGTCCCCACTGTGTTCACTGTCACATGGTCCCACTGTCCCCGCCACTGTCCCACTGAGCTGTCCCACTGTTCCCACCACTGTCCCCACTGTCCCCACCACTGTCCCCACTGTCTCACCACCACCGTCCCCACCGCTGTCCCAGTGTCCCCACCGTCCCCACCACTGTCCCACTGTCCCCACATCACTGTCCGCACCACCACCGTCCCCACCACTGTCCCACTGTCCCCACCCCTGTCCCGGTGTCCCCACTGTTCCCACCATTGTCCCCGCTGTCCCCACCAGTGCCCCCACCAGTCTCACTGTCCCCATTGTCCCCACCAGTGTCCCACCACGGTCCCACTCTCCCCAGTGTCCCCGCTGCCCCCACCACTGTGCCACTGTGCCCACTGTCCCCACCACTGTCCCACTGTCCCCAGTGTCCCCGCCGCTGTCCCACAATGCTGTCCCACTGTCCCCACTGTCCCCATCACGGTCCCACTGTCCCCACCACTCTCCCCAGTGTACAACTGTCCCACCACCGTGCTCACCACCGCATTCACCACTGTCCCCACCACTACCGTCCCCACCATTGTCCCACTGTCCCCACTGTCCCCACCACTGCCCCGCTGTCCCCTCACCACTGTCCCCACCACCACCGTCCCCACCATTGTCCCACTGTCTCACTGTCCCCACCACTGTCCCACTGTCCCCTCACCACTGTCCCCACCACCGCCGTCCTCACCACTGTCCCAGTGCCCCCACGACTGTCCCAGTGTCCCGAGGAGCGGGAATCGTCTGCCGGCGGCGAGGGAGGCGGGGGGATGGGTTCGAACCAGTAGTGACCCCCCTCCCCTTTTCATGATGGACGGGGGGGGGAGAGGGGGGTTCGAACCTGTAGTGAGCCCCCCCCGGTTTTGGAAGGGGTTGGGGGGGGACGGGTTGGGAACCCCCAGTGATCCCCCCGGTTTTCTGCCAGCAGCGGTAGAACACGCTCTTTCATATCGCCTGTCTCCACTGCCCACCTTTTTCGCACGCGCTGATCCCTGCGCTGTAGCTGATCACGTCCAATTCGAGCGTTGCGGCCAGCATCTCGCTGAACAGCAACAGCGCCTGTTTCCACTGCCCTCCCTTTCGGCAAACGCTGATTCCAGTACTGTAGCTGATGACGCTGGGTTCTAGCTTCGTTTCAACCATGTTGCGGAGGAGCGACAGAGCTTGTTGCCACTGAGTGTGTTTCCCACATGCTCTTACAGCTGTGGTCCACTCGTGTGTGCTCCCTCTTGTCGTTATGGCCGCCCTGAAAGAAAAGGCACCTTGACTGGACCCTTGCTGGCAATCTGGCATCCACAAGGCCGTAACAACCATCGGATAGCAACGAAAATACCCAAACACGTTCTTACCGTCCTCTCCGCACAATGCATGATGTAATCCTCAAGCTTGACTGTGGGGCACGTGTGATTCAATTTCTTGTCAAAACGGCTCGTACCACAAATGCACGAATACTGATTGAATGGTTGCTTGATACGTGCATGGGTTTGTTGCTGGACATGACTGGTTGACTAATTTTAGGGCCCGTCACCAACCGCATAATAATTATATCGCTCGATTGGTTTGTCGAGCTGCTATCATACAACCAGTTGCTTCCCCTACAGAGAACAGGACAGGATATCACGCGCTATTTTCAGCTGGGGCTGGCCGATTCGCGTGCGCTCAAGTGGGGCCCAAGAGCGCCCAACACGGCCCAAGAGGGATCCAAGAGGGCCCCAAGATGTACCGAGACAGCCTCAAGACGAACCCTACTCGGCCCGAGAGAGCGCCAAGACGCCCCCAAGATGCGCCTGAGGGAAGCCAAAAGCCCTAAACATCCAAATTGTTGGAAACAATCTTCCTGCCAACACTCCCTGCTCAAGATAAGTCCACTACGCATCCGAAGAAAACTCCATAGGGCCTCCAGAGAACTCCAACACGGCCCCAGGTTGCCTGAAGACCGGCCAGGTTGCGCCCGACGCGATCCAAGAAGGCCCCGAGACAGCCAAAGAGGGCCTCGGGAAGGTCAACACGCCTCCGAGATGCCCAAGACGGCGCAACGTAGGGGCACAACGGCACAAGACGGCCCCCAGAAGGTCCACGACAGCCCAAGGCGGTCTCAAGTGGCCCCCAAGAGGGGTCATGTGTACGGCGACGATCAGAAAAATAACCGATTGTTTCATAACACCAGCCCTATGCCGGGCGTTGGCGGGACTGGGTTTAATTAGTGGGACCTGGTTGAGTGATGTGTCCCGGGAGACGCCCCCCCCCGCGCGCCATTCCACGAACCGCAACTGCCGTCACACGCAGATAAAAAAAAAGCCACAGCAGACCTGGTGTCGTGATTCCCGTTCATATTTTGGGCTTCGGGGCCCAATCACGAACTGGCTCCCCTGAGCTGGGGGTCCTGGCTGTGCCCGACTGTAGGGCTGAGGTGGTCTGTGGCGTTGCCTCTTCCCTTCGGGGAGGGGTTTGCCTCCCCCCCCCCCTTTCCGCCGGGTCTGGACGGGCCGCCCCGCGAGGTGCCAAAGGGTCTTCTTGGGTCAAGTTGGCGCCGAGTCCAATACGGCCCCAAACTCCGCCAAAGGGGCTCCAAGAGACGATTTCTGGGTCTGCAGATCGAAATCCTGCAACATGGCCCAAGAGGGCCCCTCGGCTCCCAAGGAGGCAAACATGCTCCCAAGATGGTCCAAATTGGCTGCCATATGGAGAAACCTGAGTCGGAATTCGTTGTTTGCTTTCCGGGTCTGCTCAAGTTGATCCCGAATTTCGAACAATGGCTGGCCCCTTCTTTGTTCCGCGGTTTGCTCGTACACTCTGATCAACGCAACTCGCCTGGGCGTCGTTTCTGAATAGACTAATAAGGCGTTTGTTGTTGATCGCGACCGCGGCGAGGAACAGGTCGGGCGGAGTCAGGGCACTGCCGACAAGCAGCGGCTTAAATTAGCGGAGAGGAGAAGAAAGGCGAAAGAGGACAATAACAAATAGGGGAAGAGACAAACAGGAGGCGAGACTCGCTGCCGCTCAGGAGGCGCACGCCAAGAGGTACATCCGGGCGACTGGTAGGGGTACGCAAATCGTAAATAGTGATTTGTTTGATGGATGGATTCGGTGGCTGATCGAAAATCTGACCGATTCGTTCGTTGATTGCGTACGTGGTGAATCGGTTGATTCAACGATTGAGTGAATATTTGGTTCGCTCACTGGTTTACCGGTTGTATCATTTAAACATTTTATACCTATACGACCACCTTCCGGGTCATAAGGGGTTCGGGGGGGAGGAAGCAACGTCTCACTCCATCGGCCAAGTTATCGATCGCACGATGAATATGACTGTTATTTCCACGATCGGTATCGCCATGGATCTCAGTATCAATCCCGCGATCGACCACATTATCGGTCTTACGATCGATCTCACCATCGGTCTGCGTGTCTCTCTCAATGTCTCTCTCGCCATCGATCTCACTACGGGACACCGACGGGACGCCGGAACAGTGACGGGACACCAACGGGACACCGACAGGACACCGAGGGGACTTCACGGTGGGGCAACCCTGCCACCGCCCACCCACCGGGGGAGGTTCGGACAACTGTCTGCCCCCGCCCGAGCAATAGCGTAGCCCTTCGTCTCGCCCGTCCACGCAAGTTCGCCTCGCCCGCACGCACGACACGAACCCGACACCAAATCGATTTCCCGGTGGGGGGCTCTCCGTTCCACTTCGACCTCACCCACCAGCCTACGATAAATGTGCGGATGTGAATGTATACCTTGTAGAGATATATACATCCGCTCACAAAGTCTCAAGCGGTCTTCAAGCAAGCGGCGGGGTGGCAAAACCGACGCACTATCTAACTGACGAAGTCCGTTTTCAGACAAGGTAAAGCGTATATCCAACCACAACTGGATGTCAGAGAAATTCGAAGCGCTTCGCGTGCCTGGGCTTCCCCTTTCTTAGAGGGGACAACACCTCGACCCCAGAGCACGGGTGGCATGCGGGGTCCAAGAGGTGAACCACAAGGGGCGACTACGGAGGCAACGTGCAAAGGCGTTGCCGTGTCCGAAGCCTTCCAGTTTTGCTGAAAACGCGTGCGAACTCACATTCGCGCAGTGTCTCAAGCGGCCTTCAAGCAAGCGGCGGAACGGCAAAGCCGACGCACTATCTAGCTGACGAGCTCCGTTTCAGACAAGGTGAAGCGTGGATCCAACCACAGCTGAATGTCAGAGAAATTCGAAGTGCTTCGCGCGCCTCGGCACGCAGTTGATGAAATTCCCCATGCGCATAATGATGTCCAGGGTGGAGGCGGGGTAGCTGGTTGGCAAATTCAAACGCACTGGCGAGAAGCACCGTCGAGCAGGTCCGGGAGCTGCCAACTGGCAGCGATCGGCTCACGCCTCTGGCGAGCTGTCATTTTGTGCAAACGACACAAGAGCGCGGCATTCCTTTGCGCCTCACTGAGGTTAGACAAATCCACGTGCCACGATCTGAAATCTGCTTGAGGCTGAGGGCCTCATGTAGGCATCCTGGCCCGTGCGCCGACCGCAGTGCGGCGCAGTCCTGAGAACTGAAAGCCCATGCGATCGCGCGATGGTATTTTCCCCAAGATGGCAGAGTGAAATGAAAACCGCGCCCGCCGCCATGGGCATGTCCATGCAAGGGGGCGGCGCGACTTCCGCGAAGCGCGTCATCTCGCTGACCCGACGTGATCGTCTGCTCTTGCACTTAAAGAAAAGAGCAGACGCGAATTAACATATCGAGATCTACGCCGCCAAGCCACGGCAGCAAGTCCTGTCTCTTGAAGTCCAGCAGGGCGTAGGGGCGCACGTGGGTGTCTGCCTGGCACGCGACCGCCGGTGCGCACCAGAAGTAAGAAGCCCGGTGCGTAAGCAGCGGCCACTGTGCGGTCAGCCAGGCGACCTCACTGGGGCACGGATCACGAATGCGTCCCAGCCAGCTTCCACGCGCCGCATCGGCCCCGGGCAGCGCGTAGCCGCCGCGCCTGAGGCGCGAGAGCCGAGGCAGAGCGTTGCCGCAGAGGGCCCACTCAGCGGCCAGCCCCTCGAAGTAGTCCGACATCTCAGAGTCTGCCGCCGCCGGCGCGCGGAGGCTGGGGCCCCTGTCAGCCGCCCAGGCCTCGAACTGCACGATCTCGGCCTTGTAGGTCGGCGGAGCGACGGGGGAGACGCTGCTGTTGACCAGGTCGCGAGGCTGAGGTGCCAGTTCGGGGTGCGCCGCTGGTGGGCGCGCGAGCCGCTGCCGCCGGCCTCCGACCTTCTGCGCGGCTGCGAGCCAGGGCGCGCCACTGCTGGCCGACGTAGGCAATGGGCCGGCCAGGGGCGAGCTCGAGGTCGCCGCCGCCTGCTGGGGCCGACTTCCTCTCCTCGAAGCCCCTGCGCTGACGGCGCCGGAGAGTCGGATCGACCGCGCGTCGGAGACTGGCCGAGTCAACGACCTGTCGAGCCGCGGCATGCTGATGAACAGGGAAGATGCGATGACGTCGAGCATGAGCAAACAATAGACGAGCTACATTGAAACAGAACTTTGGGCCGCTAACTCCTGCCACACGAGATGCTTGCTTCCGCCGAAAGACCTTGATATCATCATCCCACACGCGCAACTTGCCTGTCACACCGGCGTGGGCGTGGTATGCAAGACATCGCTTAGACGACTTTTCCAAACCTGGTACGGTGCCAACCAATTGAGTCGGTTTCTTGATCGTACCCTCAAAAGCACACGCGTGGAATTCAGCAACAGAGACACGTGAGTCCGACGGCGGTTCATTGAATGGCTCGAAGCCCCAGAGACGTGATGTGAGAGGATTCAGACATCTTCGAATAACTTCCGATGAGAACCACGCATGCTGGGCCCCGAGAAGGTCCTTCTCACGAGCAACTTCTAGATTCTGGACCCTTCGTCTAGCTTTCCTGAATGCGATGCGCGGAGTACCCGGCCACGCGCACACGCGCGCAAGACCCCGCCACGCTGAATGGGACCTATGATGTACTGACTGATCCCGGGGTCGAGGAGGTCGTACCCGAGGGATCGCCGTTTGCAAACTTAGGCGCGCCGGACTAAGTTAAGCGCCGCGGCTTAAAGTTAAGCGCGCCGGACTAACTTAAGCGTTCAGATGTTAAATAAAGAGTAATACAATTGGTATATGTATAATGTGTATGTTGTTATTGTTATTGTTATTTGTAAACGTTAGGTAGTGTTATTGATATTGTTATTGTTATTGTTATTCTTATTGTTATTGTTATTGTTATTGTTATTGTTGTTGTAATATGTATGTGACGCTAGTTATGCATTTTCTATTGTACATATGTAAAATGTTGCATATAT